CAACCTGTATTTTAAACTTATTTTTTATTTGGATTTCATGTAATGGACATACACAAAATAGTCCAAATTGGTGAAGTGAAATGAAAATAATTACTTGTTTCATAGATTTCCAACAAATAAATAACGGAAAAGTGGTGCGTGCATATGTATTCACCCCCTTTGCTATGAAGCCCCTAAATAAGATCTGGTGCAACCAATTACTTTCAGAAGACACATACAGTGGGGAGAACAAGTATTTGATACACTGCCGATTTTGCAGGTTTTCCAACTTACAAAGCATGTAGAGGTCTGTAATTTTGATCATAGGTACACTTCAACTGTGAGAGACGGAATCTAAAACAAAAATCCAGAAAATCACATTGTATGATTTTTAAGTAATTAATTTGCATTTTATTGCATGACATAAGTATTTGATACATCAGAAAAGCAGAACTTAATATTTGGTACAGAAACCTTTGTTTGCAATTACAGAGATCATACGTTTCCTGTAGGTCTTGACCAGGTTTGCACACACTGCAGCAGGGATTTTGGCCCACTCTTCCATACAGACCTTCTCCAGATCCTTCAGGTTTCGGGGCTGTCACTGGGCAATACGGACTTTCAGCTCCCTCCAAAGATTTTCTATTGGGTTCAGGTCTGGAGACTGGCTAGGCCACTCCAGGACCTTGAGATGCTTCTTACGGAGCCACTCCTTAGTTTCCCTGGCTGTGTGTTTCGGGTCGTTGTCATGCTGGAAGACCCAGCCACGACCCATCTTCAATGCTCTTACTGAGGGAAGGAGGTTGTTGGCCAAGATCTCGCGATACATGGCCCCATCCATCCTCCCCTCAATACGGTGCAGTCGTCCTGTCCCCTTTGCAGAAAAGCATCCCCAAAGAATGATGTTTCCACCTCCATGCTTCACGGTTGGGATGGTGTTCTTGGGGTTGTACTCATCCTTCTTTTTCCTCCAAACACGGCGAGTGGAGTTTAGACCAAAAATATCAATTTTTGTCTCATCAGACCACATGACCTTCTCCCATTCCTCCTCTGGATCATCCAGATGGTCATTGGCAAACTTCAGATGGGCCTGGACATGCGCTGGCTTGAGCAGGGGGACCTTGCGTGCGCTGCAGGATTTTAATCCATTACATTTTACATTTTATGACGGCGTAGTGTGTTACTAATGGTTTTCTTTGAGACTGTGGTCCCAGCTCTCTTCAGGTCATTGACCAGGTCCTGCCGTGTAGTTCTGGGCTGATCCCTCACCTTCCTCATGATCATTGATGCCCCACAAGGTGAGATTTTGCATGGAGCCCCAGACCGAGGGTGATTGACCGTCATCTTGAAGTTCTTCCATTTTCTAATACAGTAATTGCGCCAACAGTTGTTGCCTTCTCACCAAGCTGCTTGCCTATTGTCCTGTAGCCCATCCCAGCCTTGTGCAGGTCTACAATTTTATCCCTGATGTCCTTACACAGCTCTCTGGTCTTGGCCATTTTGGAGAGGTTGGAGTCTGTTTGATTGAGTGTGTGGACAGGTGTCTTTTATACAGGTAACGAGTTCAAACAGGTGCAGTTAATACAGGTAATGAGTGGAGAACAGGAGGGCTTCTTAAAGAAAAACGAACAGGTCTGTGAGAGCCGGAATTCTTACTGGTTGGTAGGTGATCAAATACTTATGTCATGCAATAAAATGCAAATTAATTACTTAGAAATCATACAATGTGATTTTCTGGATTTTTGTTTTAGATTCCGTCTCTCACAGTTGAAGTGTACCTATGATAAAAATTACAGACCTCTACAAGCTTTGTAAGTAGGAAAACCTGCAAAATCGGCAGTGTATCAAATACTTGTTCTCCCCACTGTAATTAGTTAAATAAAGTCTACCTGTGTGCAATCTAAGTGTCACATGATCTGTCACATAATCTCAGTATATATACACCTGTTCTGAAAGGCCCCAGAGTCTGCAACACCACTAAGCAAGGGGCACCACCAAGCAAGCGGCACCATGAAGACCAAGGAGCTCTCCACACAGGTCAGGGACAAAGTTGTGGAGAAGTACAGATCAGGGTTTGGTTATAAAAAAATATCTGAAACTTTGAACATCCCACGGAGCACCATTAAATCCATTATTAAAAAATTGAAAGAATATGGCACCACAACAAACCTGCCAAGAGAGGGACGCCCACAAAAACTCACGGACCAGGCAAGGAGGGCATTAATCAGAGAGGCAACAAAGACCAAAGATAACCCTGAAGGAGCTGCAAAGCTCCACAGCGGAGATTGGAGTATCTGTCCATTGGACCACTTTAAGCCATACACTCCACAGAGCTGGGCTTTACGGAAGAGTGGCCAGAAAAAAGCCATTGCTTTTGGTGTTCGCCAAAAGGCATGTGGAAGAAGGTACTCTGGTCAGATGAGACTAAAATTGAGCTTTTGGCCATCAAGGAAAACGCTATGTCTGGCGCAAACTCAACACCTCTCATCACCCCGAGAACGCCACCCCCACAGTGAAGCATGGTGGTGGCAGCATCATGCTGTGGGGTTGTTTTCATCGGCAGGGACTGGGAAACTGGTCAGAATTGAAAGAATTTTATTTTATTTTTATTTGACCTTTATTTAACTAGGCAAGTCAGTTAAGGACAAATTCTTATTTACAATGACGGCCTACACTGGCCAAACCTGGATGACGCTGGGCCAATTGTGCGCCGCCCTATGGGACTCCAAATCACGGCCGGTTGTGATACAGCCTGGAATCGAACCAGGGGGTCTGTAGTGATGCCTCAAGCACTGAGATGCAGTGCCTTAGACCGCTGCGTCACTCGGAAGCCCATGAATGATGGATGGCGCTAAATACAGGGAAATTCTTGAGGGAAACCTGTTTCACTTCCAGAGATTTGAGACTGGGACGGAGGTTCACCTTCCAGCAGGACAATGACCCTAAGCATACTGCTAAAACAACACTCAAGTTAAAATTTCTTGTAATGGCCTAGTCAAAGCCCAGACCTCAATCCAATTGAGAATCTATGGTATGACTTAAATATTGCTGTACACCAGCAGAACCCATCCAACTTGAAGGAGCTGGAGCAGTTTTGCCTTGAAGAATGGGCAAACATCCCAGTGGGTAGATGTGCCAAGCTTATAGAGACCTACCCCAAGAGACTTGCAGCTGTAATTGCTGCAAAAGGTGGCTCTACAAAGTATTGACTTTGGGGGGGTGAATAGTTATGCACGCTCAAGTTCTGTTTTTTTGTCTTATTTGTTGTTTGTTTCACAATAAAAAAATATTTTGCATCTTCAAAGTGGTAGGCATGTTGTGTAAATCAAATGATACAAACCCCCCCAAAAATCTATTTTAATTCCAGGTTGTAAGGCAACAAAATAGGAAAAATGACAAGGGGGTGAATACTTTCGCAAGCCACTGTAACTCAAACCAAAACCTCAACTCAGAAAAGGAAATTAATGTTCTCTCCATCACACAAAGAAAATACCGTACTTTTATGATAACATTTCTCCTTAAGTTCTCAGTCAGTGGGTAGAGACATGATACATCCTTAAGTTCTCAGTCAGGGTGTAGAGACATGATACATCCAATCTGAAGTATAATTGGCGTTAGAGTGCGTTCAGTACAGTGACATTACATACACTGACAGTATAGCACAGAATTCAAAGAGAGAGACAGCCTTTCTAGTTTCACTGTCTCTCTCTGACATCACAGTGTGGGAAATGAACAGCACAGATCACTTTGATCGACTCACGTTGAGAGGAACTCTTAGGTTAAATTAGATCCGCTTTAGCCAACTGGTGGAACTGCTTTAGAGCAGCTCCCGGCATTATACCTAAAGCGGACATTGCCATTGGCTGCACAGAGCCGCATGAAGAGAAATCCCATGCAGCCATGTTTACAAGTTCGAACAATGGAATGTGAGATGTAATCTACACCTCGATTAGGCTGATAGAAATCCTCATTATTTAGTTTAATGATTTTAAATTTGAGCGTCTAAATAGCTACACCTTCGCGGTCTGAACTTCTAACGCGAGTGGGGCAGGTGTGGCTTCGTGACAATGATCACAAGAGTAGCTGCTCACCGATTTGACAGCTCCAACGCAGTTCCACCTCCGACACTACCAAAACATCAGCTATGCGGGTGTCTGGTATCATCGGTTAATGCTTGATCTGATTGAGGCCTTAAGTCTGAGACACGCTCTTAATCAGATCCAGGGGAATTAAACCTAGCAATGCAGAGAGAGGGGATATATACTACTACTACTGGAAAAAACTAGAAGACAGACCTGGGTTCAAATAGGATTTGATACATTTGTAATGTATTGTTGTGCTCAGACGAATGAGTCAACTCTATATATATTTTAAATATGTCCAATAAAATCAATCAATCAATCGATTTCTTTTAAAATACCTTATCTGGGCTTTATTGAGCTTGCTTGTCGCAATTGAACTCAAAAAATATAGTCGAAAAAAGACAAACCCTCCACCCATCTGGTACTCCGAGACAGACTAGAGCAAACGCTAAAATAATTGGGATGATTTCGAATAGTATTTGAACCCAGGTCTGATAACTACAACTGGAAATGACTAAGGTTCCATTTGGTTGCCTTAAAAACACTCCATCCTTTGAGTTGACTAGAGCGTAAACAACTCTGTGCACCAATATGTCGGAGGGTATTATTCAATAGCATCACCCTCAGACTGTAGTTAGGAATAACTGGTGAAGATGTATTTTAAAAGAGGACAGTCTAATTTGAGCACTGCTTGCTGACTCACCCATCCTACATCCATACACACAACTATTGTTCCTGAAGGTGTGCTTTGCTTTTCTGTTGCAGAGAGATATTATAAAGATAAGACGTCAAATTTTTTTTTAAACCAAGAACTCTCAAGCATTCCGTTCGGCACACACATCAAACATCATCAAACCAGTGCTGCGTTTCTGAACAAGCTTTTTGTTTGGCAAACCATCTTCAAACCACGGTGCGTTTGGCACACCCACATCTTCAAACCACGGTGCATACGGTGTTGAGGTTGGGGTCGAAGCGAACCACTTTCCCCTCTGCAGACTTGGTGTTGGTGTCGTACATGGGGTTCTCATACGTGGCCTGACCGTTGTTGTTCTCGTGGACTGAACATCCGCTGTACTGGGTCTGATCTGTTTTCCTACAGAACAGAGGACACAGCACACACATCAGTTAGTGAGACAATACTACTCTATCAATCTACTGTACATCTGCTGTTTTAAGCATCAACCACTTCTCAGTGTCAAGAACATTTCTATGAACAGTGAAACTGAAATATGTTCCGCTTCTCTTTATACAACCGAACCAATACTAACATGATGTGGTCCTGTGTGGCTCACAGTACTCACTGTACTGTGTGGCGTGGGAGAAAAGCTTCCGCTAAGTGGCATGTATTATTATTGGGTTACTAAAGCTACGTACCGTTGTTTGTAGAGATAGAATCCCAGGCCTGCCAACACGAGGCCAAAGAAAGGTACCAGGATGGCTATGATGACAAAGCTACTGTTGGTGACATGAGGAGTTCCTGGAGTTGTGATGTTCGTCTCTCTCACCTTCATACCTACATGGGGAACAAACCAGGAAGAGGAGGAGGAGGAAGAGGAAGAGGAAGAGGAAGGGTAAGAGGAAGAGGAAGAGGTGGATGAGGACGATGGCGACACAATGTTGGTGGTTACAATTGTCAAATGTGTAATTGTTGTGATAAGATTGAGCTCTTCTAAATCCTGCGTACCTAGTCTCTGCAGTCCGAACTGTCCATAGTCTTTCCCCTGTATGAAGCCTTGGAATACATAACTGCCACCACCAGGTTCAGCTGAGACCTTTCACAGGGGATAAAAGACAGACAGTGAACTTCTACTGTGTTCAGACATGTACAGTGGGGAAAAAAAGTATTTAGTCAGCCACCAATTGTGCAGGTTCTCCCACTTAAAAAGATGAGAGAGACCTGTAATTTTCATCATAGGTACACGTCAACTATGACAGACAAAATGAGAAAAAGAAAATCCAGAAAATCACATTGTAGGATTTGTAATGAATTTATTTGCAAATTATGGTGGAAAATAAGTATTTGGTCAATAACAAAAGTTTCTCAATACTTTGTTATATACCCTTTGTTGGCAATGACACAGGTCAAACGTTTTCTGTAAGTCTTCACAAGGTTTTCACACACTGTTGCTGGTATTTTGGCCCATTCCTCCATGCAGATCTCCTCTAGAGCAGTGATGTTTTGGGGCTGTCGCTGGGCAACACGGACTTTCAACTCCCTCCAAAGATTTTCTATGGGGTTGAGATCTGGAGACTGCCTAGGCCACTCCAGGACCTTGAAATGCTTCTTACGAAGCCACTCCTTCGTTGCCCGGGCGGTGTGTTTGGGATCATTGTCATGCTGAAAGACCCAGCCACGTTTCATCTTCAATGCCCTTGCTGATGGAAAGAGGTTTTCACTAAAAATCTCACGATACATGGCCCCATTCATTCTTTCCTTTACACGGATCAGTCGTCCTGGTCCCTTTGCAGAAAAACAGCCCCAAAGCATGATGTTTCCACCCCCATGCTTCACAGTAGGTATGGTGTTCTTTGGATGCAACTCAGCATTCTTTGTCCTCCAAACACGACGAGTTGAGTTTTTACCAAAAAGTTCTATTTTGGTTTCATCTGACCATATGACATTCTCCCAATCCTCTTCTGGATCATCCAAATGCACTCTAGCAAACTTCAGACGGGCCTGGACATGTACTGGCTTAAGCAGGGGGACACGTCTGGCACTGCAGGATTTGAGTCCCTGGCGGCGTAGTATGTTACTGATGGTAGGCTTTGTTACTTTGGTCCCAGCTCTCTGCAGGTCATTCACTAGGTCCCCCCGTGTGGTTCTGGGATTTTTACTCACCATTCTTGTGATCATTTTGACCCCACGGGGTGAGATCTTGCGTGGAGCCCCAGATCAAGGGAGATTATCAGTGGTCTTGTATGTCTTCCATTTCCTAATAATTGCTCCCACAGTTGATTTCTTCAAACCAAGCTGCTTACCTATTGCAGATTCAGTCTTCCCAGCCTGGTGCAGGTCTACAATTTTGTTTCTGGTGTCCTTTGACAGCTCTTTGGTCTTGGCCATAGTGGAGTTTGGAGTGTGACTGTTTGAGGTTGTGGACAGGTGTCTTTTATACTGATAACCAGTTCAAACAGGTGCCATTAATACAGGTAACGAGTGGAGGACAGAGGAGCCTCTTAAAGAAGAAGTTACAGGTCTGTGAGAGCCAGAAATCTTGCTTGTTTGTAGGTGACCAAATACTTGTTTTCCACCATAATTTGCAAATAAATTCATTAAAAATCCTACAATGTGATTTTCTGGATTTTATTTTCTCAATTTGTCTGTCATAGTTGACGTGTACCTATGATGAAAATTACAGGCCTCTCTCATCTTTTTAAGTGGGAGAACTTGCACAATTGGTGGCTGACTAAATACTTTTTTTCCCCCACTGTAAAACCCATCTCTTTCAACTAACTGAGTTACTGATGTTTTCTTTCAATAACTCCTTATAAGCGGTCTGTCTGCCGTACAGTCCTACCATGTTACTGTCTGTCTGCCGTACAGTCCAACCATGTTACTGTCTGTCTGCCGTAAAGTCCTACAATGTTACTGTGTTACCGGCCTTTAAATTTCTCAGTACTGTAGAGAAGTTGGCTTATATTCCAATGTAATCATTTTAGGTGATTGTCAGGCAATTCTTCTGGATATTTAACATATAGTTAAAGCAACAAAGTTACGGAAGCCTAAGAGAGGTGATACCCATAGTCCATATACTAACTGTTCAATACAATATCACAGAGAGTTGAAACATATAAACAATTTGCAACATCAGATTTGTTTAATCCAGATGTTTGTTAGCTTTAGCGTGGTGAAAACAGAGACTCCTGTGTTAGAACGTAACAGACTGCAGTTATTCCACAGTTATACTAGAGTTGGCAGCCTCTCCCCAGGGTACTTACAAAACCATCCATAGCCCAGGTCTCCTCTGTAACCTGATTATACGTGCTGTGGGCCAGGGCTTTCATATGGTACAGCAGGAGCATTAACCTGGCCTCACGGTTCTTATACACTCCTAGAGGAGAGGAGAGGAGAGAGTCAGCACAGATTACTACAGATCTATTTTCAACCAATTAGACTTCTGACAGTAAGTGATGAATATGGTGAGACACAACCACAACATGTAAAACAACAACTAAAAAGCAACAAAAGGAATGATGATAAATAACTCACCGGACAGCAGGAACTCCAAGTTGCTGTCGCTTAACGTCACGTTCACTATTCCTGAGCTGCTATTAAAGCTGGTGATTGTCAAAATCATTGGTTGTTTCTGACCCTTATAATCATAGGAGCCTCTCCAGATGAAGTCAGGGGCAAAGACGTCATCAGGGACTGGAATACAGGACATTATAGACGCCAGCAATACAGATCATTCATTATATAGAGCCATTTAAAACATGGACAATGATTATTTCTTTAATTTGTCGTTTTTCCATCTAATATGTTTTCCCGGTAATAATAGCTGCTAGTGGTGCACGGGTCAGCTGTTTGTTCACCCGCACCTGCCCGCAATTGCTAACAACCCATCCACAACCGCCCGACTATACAGTATGTGATAGAGTGAAAGTCTGAGACCCGACCCGCTAATATAGAAAATGTGCTGTTTTTAAGTTCTGCACTCAGAACAGCCTCAATTCGTCGAGTCTGATGTCAGAACAGCCTCAATTAACTGGGACATGGACTCTACAAGGTGTCGAACGCGTTCCACAGGGATGTGGTGGACCATTCTTGATACACACGGGAAACTGTTGAGCGTGAAAAACCCAGCAGCGTTGCAGTTCTTGACACAAACCTGGAACCTACTACCATACCCCGTTCAAAGGCACTTAAATATTTTGTCTTGCCCATTCACCCTCTGCATGGCACACACACAATCCATGTGTCAATTGTCTCAAGGCTTAAAAATCATTCTTTAACCTGTCTCCTCCCCTTCATCTACACTGATTGAAGTGAATTTAACAAGTGACATCAATACGGGATCATATCTTTCACCTGGATTCACCTGGTCAGTCTGTCATGGAAAGAGCAGGTGTTCTTAATGTTTTGTATACTCAGTGTAGATAACTACCATAAGTAGCTATGGAACAATCCCTTGTAAAGTTACTTTAGACATTACTTTATTCTTCTTACCATGTATGTTGGGTCTTGGCATTCCCTGTAAGGGTATGGTAGGTTTCTCTGTCAGTTTGGAGCCCACTGGAAAGAAACATAGAAGCATGTATCTCACAAATTAGCCCTGATTCAGAGCACAGCAGTAACACCATCATGATGTTATCAAAAATAAACACTGCCTGACTGTGTTGCCAACACAGTACCTTTCCTTAACGTTGCAGAACCCTGTGTTGCCAACATAGTACCTTTCCTTAATGTTGCAGAACCTCCAGGGAAGATACATTCTGTGTGTGTGTGTGTGTGTGTTTATGTTTGTGTGTTTGTGTTTGTGTGTGTGTGTGTCTGTGTGTGTCTGTCTGTGTGTGTCTGTCTGTGTATCTGTGTGTGTGTTTGTGTATTGTGTGTGTCTGTGTATGTGTGTCTGTGTGTGTTTGTGTGTGTGTGTTTGTGTGTCTGTGTCTGTGTATGTGTGTGTCTGTGTCTGTGTGTGTGTGTCTGTGTCTGTGTGTGAGTGTGTGTATGTGTGTGTGTCTCTGTGTATGTGTGTGTGTGTGTGTGTGTGTGATACTCCAGAAGGAAGGATGCCCACTGTTCTTAGCCTATACATTTTACATCAGCTCTCAGAGCAGAGAGTTTCTAATGCAACACAACCTGACAGTCACTGAGATACAATGGCACTGTGGAAAATATGTAGACATGATTCAAAGCTTAGTTTTCGAGGTCAGTCTTTTGAAAAGTTGTGTGGGCTTTCACATTGTGTTTTGGATCCTTAGTTGTTCTTTCTGCCATAACCATCACCTTGAAGTGTTTCAGAACAATTTATATCAACGTCTAATCTCGGAACCCAGAACCAAGTCCTGCCAGCTAACTCCATTTGACAGTCTGTCACCACAGAACGATCAATGTCATAGTCAGTGTGTAAGCAGGTAGGTAAACAGGTAGATGTCAGTGACCTGGACGCAGTTCTACCTGAGTACCCAGTAGTTCTAACCAGCCATAACCAGCTTTCTACAGAACTTATCTTTCCCATTTAGATATCTATTGTGTGTTCTCATCACTGGCATTGCATCTCAGTGACTGTCAAGTTGTGTTGGAAACATACAGTACCAGTCAAAAGTTTGGACACACCTACTCATTCAAGGGTTTTTCTTTATTTTTACTATTTTCTACATTGTATAATAATATTGAAGACATCAAAACTATTAAATAACATATGGAATCATGTAGTAACCAAAAAAGTGTTAAACAAATTATGACAGCTTTGCATACTCTTGGCATTCTCTCAACCAGCTTCACCTGGAATGCTTTTCCAACAGTCTTGAAGGAGTTCCCACATATACTGAGCACTTGTTGGCTGCTTTTCCTTCACTCTGCCGTCCGACTCATCCCAAACCATCTCAATTGGGTTGAGGTCGGAGATTGTGGAGGCCAGGTCATCTGATGCAGCACTCCATCACTCTCCTTCTTGGTAAAATAGCCCTTACACAGCCTGGAGGTGTGTTGGGTCATTGTCCTGTTGAAAAACAAATGATAGTCCCACTAAGCCCAAACCAGATTGGATGGCGTATCGCTGAAGAATGTTGTGGTAGCCATGCTGATTAAGTGTGCCTTGAATTATAAATAAATCCCAGACAGTGTCACCAGCAGAGCACCCCCACACCATAACACCTCCTCCTCCATGCTTTACGGTGGGAACAACACATGCAGAGATAATCCATTCACCCACAACGCGTCTCACAAAGACATGGCGGTTAGAACCAAAAATCTCAAATTTGGACTCCAGACCAAAGGACACATTTCCACTGGTCTAATGTCCATTGCTCGTGTTTCTTGGCCCAAGCAGGTCTCTTCTTCTTATTGGTGTCCTTTAGTAGTGGTTTCTTTGCAGCAATTCGACCATGAAGGCCTGATTAACACAGTCCCCTCTGAACAGTTGACATGTGTCTGTGACTGGGCTGCAATTTCTGAGGCTGGTAACTCTAATGAACTTATCCTCTACAGCAGAGGTAACTCTGGGTCTTCCATTCCTGTGGCGGTCCTCATGAGAGCCAGTTTCATCATAGCGCTTGATGGTTTTTGCGACTGCACCTGAAGAAATTTTCAAAGTTCTTGACATTATCCGTATTGACTGACCTTCATGTCTTAAAGTAATGATGGACTGTCGTTTCTCTTTGCTTATTTGAGCTGTTCTTGTCATAATATGGACTTGGTATTTTACCAAATAGGGCTATCTTCTGTATACCCCCCTACCTTGTCACAACACAACACAACTGATTGGCTGAAACGCATTAAGGAGGAAAGAAATTCCACAAATTAACTTTTAAGAAGGCACACCTGTTAATTGAAATGCATTCCAGGTGACTACCTCATGAAGCTGGTTGAGAGAATGCCAAGAGTGTGCAAAGCTGTCATCAAGGCAAAGGGTGGCTATTTGAAGAATCTCAAATATAAAATATATTTTGATTAACACTTTTTGGTTACTACATGATTCCACATGTGTTATTTCACAGTGTTGATGTCTTCACTATTATTCTACAATGTAAAAAATAGTAAAAAAATAAAGAAAAACCCTTGAATGAGTAGGTGTGTCCAAACTTTTGACTGGTAGCGTATATCAATACCATAGTATAAAAGCAGATAGACTTGACTTCCCTACCTCTGCAGATGGGGACCTTGCCGGTCCAGCTTCCATCAGACCTGCAGACCCTGTGTTCTGACCCCCCAGACAGGATGAAACCAGGCTGGCAGGAGTAGAGCAGGGTGTAGCCATATAGAGCAAGGTCCATCCCAACCACGTCTGCATTGGGAGGGGATTTGGGCTGCTTACACCAGTGGGCTGGAGAGAGAACACACACACACGCAGTTAATCAGGGACGTGATCAGGGCAACATATTACATGTGGATATTGGTTTGGGGGTAGATCAGCATGTATTGCGTACATGGACTCAGAGAGGCAGGGATTCCTGGTGTGTGTATCCTGATAATGAAGCAATCATGAGAAAATGTCCAACAGTGTTTGTATTAGGAGGAGTCTCAGGGTTTCTTTGTTTGGCCTAAAGCAAGCTGTTGGTCAACTGAGAGAGCAGTAGATAGGCTGTATCCCAAATAGATGCCCTATATAGTGCACTACTTTACCAGGGTCCATAAGGATCCATTTGGGACACAGTTATATATAGTCTCCCCACTAGGACTGTGAACAAAGACTGGCTGCAGTGTTGACAAAATACCAGACTGCTTTGAAGATATCCTGAATCTACTAAACTAATGAGTTGAAGATATCCTGAATCTACTAAACTAATGAGTTGAAGATATCCTGAATCTACTAAACTAATGAGTTGAAGATATCCTGAATCTACTAAACTAATGAGTTAAAGACATCCTGAATCTACTAAACTAATGAGTTGAAAAAAATCCTACATCTAATAAACGAATAAGTTAAAGATACCCTGAATCTACTAAACTAATGAGTTGAAGATATCCTGAATCTACTAAACTAATGTCACGTTCGTTCATAGACGGGTCAGACCAAGGCGCAGCGTGATATGCATACATGTTTATTTTAAACTTAATAAACAACGACAAAACAATAAACCAACGAAACGTGACGTCCAAAGGTAACACACAACAAACCTCACACAGAACAAGATCCCACAACACCTAATTGCCAATAGGCTGCCTAAGTATGCTCCCCAATCAGAGACAACGAGCGACAGCTGCCTCTGATTGGGAAACACACCCGGCCAAACATAGAACTACAAAACCTAGATCACAAACATAGAAAATACAACATAGAAAATCACACCCTGACTCAACAAATAAGAGTCCCCAGAGTCAGGGCGTGACAGTAGCGGACTCCTCAGGCTCCGGACTGGAGCAGCTGACCGGAGCTGGATCAGGCACCGGTGGAGCGGACTACTCTGGCTTCGGACTGGAGCTGCTGACTGGTGCCGGACCAGGCACCGGTGGAACGGGCACGGGCCGTACCGGACTGGACACACTCACCACTGGTCTGGTGCAAGGAGCAGGCACGGGCCAAACCGGACTAGGAACATGCACCACTGGCTTGGTGCGAGGAGCAGGAACAGGCCGGGCCGGGCTGGGAACACGCACCACTGGTTTGGTGCGAGGAGCAGGAACAGGCCGGGCCGGGCTGGCGACGCGCACCACTGGCTTGGTGCGAGGAGCAGGAACAGGCCGGGCCGGGCTGGCGACGCGCACCACTGGCTTGGTGCGAGGAGCAGGAACAGGCCGGGCCGGGCTGGCGACGCGCACCACTGGCTTGGTGCGAGGAGCAGGAACAGGCCGGGCCAGGCTGGCGACGCGCACCACTGGCTTGGTGCGAGGAGCAGGAACAGGCCGGGCCGGGCTGGGAACACGCACCACTGGTTTGGTGCGAGGAGCAGGAACAGGCCGGGCCGGGCTGGCGACGCGCACCACTGGCTTGGTGTGAGGAGCAGGAACGGGCCGGACCGGACTGTGAAGGCAGACTGGAGGTCTGGAGCGGAGAGCTGGCACAACTCGTCCTGGCTGGCTGCCCACTTTCGCACTACACGTGCGGGGCGCTGGCACAGGACGCACTGGGCTGTGCACGCGCACTGGCGATACAGCTCGTAGAACTGGCGCAGGATATGTGGGACCGAGGAGGCGTACTGGAGACCAGGAGCGTTGAGCCGGCACACCCCATCCAGGCTGGATGCCCATCTTCGCACGGCACGTGCGTGGTGCTAGCACAGGACGTACAGGACTGTGCCGGCACACTGGCGACACAGTACGTAGCTCCGCATAACACGGAGCCTGCCCAGTCACACGCTTCCTCACGTGAGTACGGGGAGTTGGCTCTGCTCTAACACTAGGCTCCGCCAACCACCCTTTTAGCCCCCCCCAAAATTGCCGTTGCTCCTCTCCTGCCTGGGCATCTATCTTCGCCCATGGCCCTTTCCCCGCAAATATCTCCTCCCATGACCACCAATTGCCCACCTGTGACATGGCTACTCTCTCCGCCTGGGCACGCTGCTTGGTCCTCGTTTGGTGGGATCTTCTGTCACGTTCGTTCATAGACGGGTCAGACCAAGGCGCAGCGTGATATGCATACATGTTTATTTTAAACTTAATAAACAACGACAAGACAAAACAATAAACCAACGAAACGTGACGTCCAAAGGTAACACACAACAAACCTCACACGGAACAAGATCCCACAACACCTAATTGCCAATAGGCTGCCTAAGTATGCTCCCCAATCAGAGACAACGAGCGACAGCTGCCTCTGATTGGGAAACACACCCGGCCAAACATAGAACTACAAAACCTAGATCACAAACATAGAAAATACAACATAGAAAATCACACCCTGACTCAACAAATAAGAGTCCCCAGAGTCAGGGCGTGACAACTAATGAGTTGAATACATCCTGAATCTACTAAACTAATGAGTTGAAGATATCCTGAATCTACTAAACTAATGAGTTGAAGATATCCTGAATCTACTAAACTAATGAGTTAAAGACATCCTGAATCTACTAAACTAATGAGTTGAAAATATCCTACATCTAATAAACAAATGAGTTAAAGATACCCTGAATCTACTAAACTAATGCGTTAAAGATATCCTGAATCTACTAAAATAATGAGTTAAAGACATCCAGAATCTACTAAAATAATGAGTTAAAGACATCCTGAATCTACTAAACTAATGAGTTGAAAAAAATCCTAAATCGAATAAACAAATGAGTTAAAGATATCCTGAATCTACTAAACTAATGCGTTAAAGATATCCTGAATCTACTAAACTAATGAGTTGAAGATATCCTGAATCTACTAAACTAATGAGTTGAAGATATCCTGAATCTACTAAACTAATGAGTTGAAGATATCCTGAATCTACTAAACTAATGAGTTGAAGATATCCTGAATCTACTAAACCAATGAGTTAAAGATATGCTGAATCGTTTCAACAACAACATGTAAACAAACACAGTTAAAAGAGGCTCTGAAAGAGACAAATGTTTTAATGACAGAGTCACAGCAGTGAATTGGACCTTCATGGTGTTTTAATAACAGAGTCACAGCAGTGAATTGGCCCTTCATGGTGTTTTAATGGACAGTCACAGCAGTGAATTGGACCTTCATGGTGTTTTTAGGGAGCTGGTCCAGACCAAGGACTGACTATGTGATTTGATATGATGCTGAGAGTAGATGAAATGAGAGCGTGGCTGAGGCTGTGTCTCCCGCTGCAGTGCGGCTCACACACAGACATAGGTAGGAGGAGGACATTAGGGAGGAGGAGGGAGGACCAGGACCATGTAATGACTCTCCAAGCCTCAACCACAATGGGACTAGCCAGGACCACACAGGACAGGACCACACAGGACAGGACCACACAGGACCACACAGGACAGGACCAGAGAGGACAGGACCACACAGGACAGGACCACACAGGACAGGACCACACAGGACAGGACCACACAGGACAGGACCAGACAGGACGAAGAGGTGAAGGGAGAAGAGGAGAGAGGAGAGGTGGAGGGAGAAGAGGAGAGAGGAGAGGTGGAGGGAGAAGATGAGAGAGGAGAGGTGGAGGGAGAAGAGGAGAGGTGGAGGGAGAAGATGAGAGAGGAGAGGTGGAGCGAGAAGAGGAGAGGTGGAGGGAGAAGAGGAGAGGTGGAGGGAGAAGAGGAGAGGGTGGAGGGAAGAACAGAGGAGAGAGGAGAGGTGGAGGGAGAAGAGGAGAGGTGGAGGGAGAACAGGACAGAGGAGAGGTGGAGGGAGAACAGGACAGAAGAGAGGTGGAGGGAGAAGATGAGAGAGGAGAGGTGGAGGGAGAAGAGGAGAGAGGAGAGGTGGAGGGAGAAGAGGAGAGGTGGAGGGCGAAGAGGAGAGAGGAGAGGTGGAGGGAGAAGAGGAGAGAGGAGAGGTGAAGGGAGGAGAGAGACAGACTAGAAGAGGAAAGGTGAGGAAGAAGACAGAGGAAGAGAGAGGGAGAGCTCACGGATGCATGTTGGCTGAGAGCCGCTCCAGGTCAGGTCAGACAGGCAGAGTCGGGTGGTGGAACCCTGGAGTAGGTGGCCCTGCTGGCACTGGAACTCCACCTTACTGCCCACCTGGTTCAGAGAGACAGAAAGAGAGACAGACATTGCTAAACTCCACCTTACTGCCCACCTGGTTCAGAGAGACAGAAAGAGAGACAGACATTACTAAACTCCACCTTACTGCCCACCTGGTTCAGAGAGACAGAAAGAGAGACAGACATTACTAAACCCCACCTTACTGCCCACCTGGTTCAGAGAGACAGACAGAGAGACAGACATTACTAAACTCCACCTTACTGCCCACCTGGTTCAGAGAGACAGACAGAGAGACAGACATGACTAAACTTCACCTTACTGCCCACCTGGTTCAGAGAGACAGACAGAGAGACAGACATTACTAAACTCCACCTTACTGCCCACCTGGTTCAGAGAGACAGACAGACAGACAGACATTACTAAACTCCACCTTACTGCCCACCTGGTTCAGAGGGACAGAAAGAGAGACAGACATTACTAAACTCCACCTTACTGCCCACCTGGTTCAGAGAGACAGAAAGAGAGACAGACATTACTAAACTCCACCTTACTGCCCACCTGGTTCACAGAGACAGAAAGAGAGACATACATTACTCCACCTTACTGCCCACCTAGAGGAGATAGATACACAGACAGACAGACAGACAGAGCGATATTACTAACCTCCTCCTTGCTGCCCACCTGAATCAGAGAGAGATACAGGCAGACAGACATGCAGACAGACAGGCAGACAGAAAGACAGACAGGCCATGACTAAACTGATGGTGTTTCTCTAAGAGGAAATATGTTATTTCAGGATACAAATGTAGGATCTTAATTTGAGCCAGTTTGCTACAGGAGGAAAATAATCTTGCAGAAGCAGGAAATGTTAATTATATGGACTATAATTAATGGACATTTTCTGTAGGGGTTGATCCATTTTTCATTAGGACAAATCCAGTAAGAATTTTAAACTGGAAATTACAAACTTTAGAAGCCTTTCTAAACCTCAAATACACTACAGGTATGCATTTCCTGCTGTGCAAATTCCTGCAACAACAGGATGATCAAATTAGGATATGGCATCTGTATGAGGAAAAGAGCTCTGATGAGTAAGATGTATTACAAGTGGTGACAGACAGAGTTAGACAGAGAGGAAGGGACAGACATGACTAAACGGAGGTAACAGATACAGATAGACAGAGAGGAAGGGAGCCAAATTGAGGTTGGCTGGGAGCCAACAGTAACCTGAAAGTTACTCTCTTTTCAGGTTAATTAAACTTAACTGTCTTTTTGGGTTAATTAGACTTAACTGGAGTCATCCTAAGAGTATTGCTCTAAGCTCTCAGAAGTTCAAGTTCCAGTTCCAGTTTCTTTTCCATTTGTAATAAATACTCTATATATACAAAAGTATGTGGACATCCCTTCAAATTAGTGAATTCGGCTATATCAGCCACATCCGTTGCTGACAGGTGTATAAAATCGAGCACACATCCATGCAATCTCCATAGACAAACATTGGCAGTAGAATGGCCTTGCTGAAGAGCTCAGTGACTTTCAACATGGCACCATCATAGGATGCCACCTTTCTAACAAGTCAGTTCGTCAAATGTCTGCCCTGCTGGAGATGCCCCGGTCAACTGTAAGTGTAGGAGTAACAACGCCTCAGCCGAGAAGTGGTAGGCCACACAAGCTCACAGAATGGGACCGCTGAGTGCTGAAGTGCATAGCGCGTAAAAATTGTCTGTCCTCGGTTGCAATACTCACTACCGAGTTCCAAACTGCCTCTGGAAGCAACGTCAGCACAAGAACTGTTCGTCGGGAGCTTCATGAAATGGGTTTCCAAGGCTGAGCAGCCGCACACAAGCCTAAGATCACCATGCGCAATGCCAAGCATCGGCTGGAGTGGTGCAAAGCTTGCCGTCATTGGACACTGGAGCAGTTGAAACGCGTTCTCTGGAGTGATGAATCACCATCTGGCAGTATGACGGACTAATCAGGGTTTGGCGGATGCCAGGAGAACATTACCAGCCCCAATGCATAGTGCCAACTGTAAAGTTTGGTGGAGGAGGAATGATGGTCTGGGGCTGTTTTTCATTGTTCAGGCTAGGCCCCTTCGTTCCAGTGAAGGGAAATATTAATGCTACAGCATACAATTACATTCTGGATGATTCTGTGCTTCCAACTTTGTGGCATCAGTTTGGGGAAAGCCCTTTCCTGTTTCAGCATGACAATGCCCCCATGCACAAAGCAAGGTCCATGCAGAAATGATTTGTCGAGATCGGTGTGGAAGAACTTGACTGGCCTGCACAAAGCCCTGACCTCAACCCCATCGAACACCTTTGGGATTAATTGGAACGCAGACCTCGAGCCAGGCCTAATTGCCCAACATCAGTGCCCGACCTCACTAATGCTCTTCTGGTTGAATGGAAGCAAGTCCCCTCAGCAATGTTCCAACATCTAGTGGAAAGGCTTCCCAGAAGAGTGAAGGCTGTTATAGCAACAAAAGACGGGACCAACTCCATATTAATGCCCATGATTTTGGAATGAGATGTTCGACGAGCAGGTCATGTAGTGTACATTGGAAATCCCACTACTAGCCAGAGCTCTTCTCCTTACATCCTTAAATAACATATTTCCTCACTTTTAGATGTGAAGCACCTTTAAGTCTAATTAACCTCAAAAGACAGTTAAGTCTAATTAACCTCAAAAGACAGTTAAGTCTAATTAACCTCAAAAGACAGTATTGTCTGTTAACTGCATAAGTCATTTCACAACAGTCATTTTTTATCAAATTGCATCACTATTGGAAATGTGTGTAGAGATCAAAGTAAATGTGCATGGCAGTAGAACACATCAAATGGTCTATTAGGAGTTCTCAGAAATATAGCTTAGTCTAATGAAGTCTAACAGAGAGAGAGAGAGAGAGAGAGAGAAAGAAAGAAAGAAAGAAAGAAAGAGAGGGAGAGAGAGAGAGAGAGAGAGAGAGAGAGAGAGAGAGAGAGAGAGAGAGTTGAAGGAAGTGTGTGTCTGTATGTCCTGCTGAGATGAAACGTATTTCACCCTGCCATCCCTTGTCTTGCACCAATATAACATCACTCAACAGAATCATCCAAAGGAATACAAGATGATTCCAATCCAGACACATTTAGATCTTCCAGCTGTTGGGCTGGACTGCCTTTGAAAAGATCCCATGGTTTCACATATCATCACATCTCCGTACAGTTTCAGTACAGTTAGTTCACACAGGGTCTCAGTCTAACATACTGCACCCTCAGAACAGGACAGTTTTAAACCTAACTCTATGATCGTTGGTACAGTAGGCACGGTCCGAGTCCAACATACTGTACTGGGATTAAAATGATAGTTTTAACCATGGATGTACCAATCCCAGATTGCCACTTTCAAGATATCTAATACAGAACATTCCTTTATACTGTACCTTGAACCCCAGGCTGATGTTCATGGAGCCGTATTCAGGTGTTCCTGGGTTCTCACAGGTCGTCCTGGATGGTTCTAGAAGGACATAGATCATAATCACCCTGGGTTATTATTATGATGATGAGTCTGTCATATCTACGGAAGCATAGATTGAACTGTCAATCTCCCTCGGCCTGGGGCTCATGCAAGATCTCACCTCGTGGAGTTGCAATGATCATGAGAACGGTGAGGAATCAGCCCAGAACTACACGGGAGGATCTTGTCAATGATCTCAAGGCAGCTGGGACCATAGTCACCAAGAAAACAATTGGTAACACACTACGCCGTGAAGGACTGAAATCCTGCAGCGTCCCGTAAGGTCCCCCTGCTCAAGAAAGCACATATACAGGGCCGTCTGAAGTTTGCCAATGAACATCTGAATGATTCAGAGGAGAACTGGGTGAAAGTGTTGTGGTCAGATGAGACCAAAATCGAGCTCTTTAGCATCAACTCAACTCGCCATGTTTGGAGGAGGAGGAATGCTGCCTATGACCCCAAGAACACCATCCCCACCGTCAAACATGGAGGTGGAAACATTATGCTTTGGTAGTGTTTTTCTGCTAAGGGGACAGGACAACTTCAGCGCATCAAAGAGACGATGGACGGGGCCATGTACCGTCAAATCTTGGGTGAGAACCTCCTTCCCTCAGCCAGGGTATTGAAAATGGGTCGTGGATGGGTATTCCAGCATGACAATGAACCAAAACACACGGCAAAGGCAACAAAGGAGTGGCTCAAGAAGAAGCACATTAAGGTCCTGGAGTGGCCTAGCCAGTCTCCAGACCATAATCCCATAGAAAATCTGTGGAGGGAGCTGAAGGTTCGAGTTGCCAAACGTCAGCCTCAAAACCTTAATGACTTGAAGAAGATCTGCAAAGAGGAGTGGAACAAAATCCCTCCTGAGATGTGTGCAAACCTGGTGGCCAACTACAAGAAACGTCTGACCTCTGTGATTGCCAACAAGGGTTTTGCCACCAAGTACTAAGTCATGTTTTGCAGAGGGGTCAAATACTTATTTCCCTCATTAAAATGCAAATCAATTTATAACATTTTTGACATGCGTTTTTCTGGACTTTTTTGTTGTTATTCTGTCTCACTGTTCAAATAAACCTACCATTAAAATTATAGACTGATCATGTCTTTGTCAGTGGGCAAACGTACAAAATCAGCAGGGGATCAAATCATTTTTTCCCTCACTGTATTTTGTGCGTAAAGGCTCTCCAAATCATTTTTTGGATTATTCATAACTACTTTCCTAACCCTAAATAATATAAAAGATCAGAGTATTTTTAAATCTACCAATTGGTGCTGAAAAGGACACAAATATACATGTATTTACATCCCTTTCTTTCATTGATCCCTAATATTCTGAACCGTTCTCGCCATATATTCTAGTGAGTCTGTCTAGAAAATTATAATTAAAGGTACACCAAATTTAAAGTGATGGTTTAGATAAATGTATTGAAAACCCTATTGAATGAAAACTCCACGCGAAAATCAGTTGGGCAAAAAGTGGGAGGGTTTTCTGCAGTTTAATAACATGTATGTAGCACGCGCAAGGGAACCACACCTGCAAAGCCGGTTACACACCTTCATAAGGTAAGTCTGAATAACAACTATTGAGAAGTGTGTAGGAAAGGCGTGCCAAGGAAAGGTGTACATTTCCTGTCTGAATCGGGCCCAAGAGGTTTACTCTGTCATTACTGGACAGATAATATATCATGGAGGGGTATTGATGATATTAGAACAGCTACCCAACTAGTCCACCTTGATAATGATGATGATTACTCTGTCATTACTGGTAACTATGATAACTGTGCCAGTGACATTTTGCAACATTGATTGGTGTTGTACAAATAGACCGTAGCTGTTACAGTATGATGTTGTTACCTATAGACCGTAGCTGTGACAGTATGAATGTTGTTACCTATATATCGTAGCTGTTACAGTATGATGTTGTTACCTATAGACCGTAGCTGTGACAGTATGATGTTGTTACCTATAGACCATAGCTGTGACAGTACGATGTTGTTAACTATAGATTGTAGCTGTTACTGTATGATGTTGTTACCTATAGACCGTAGCTGTGACAGTATGATGTTGTTACCTATAGATCGTAGCTGTGACAGTATGATGTTGTTACCTATAGATCGTAGCTGTGACAGTATGATGTTGTTACCTATAGACCGTAGCTGTTACAGTATGATGTTGTTACCTATAGACCGTAGCTGTGACAGTATGATGTTGTTACCTATAGACCATAGCTGTTACAGTATGATGTTGTTACCTATAGATCGTAGCTGTGACAGTATGATGTTGTTACCTATAGATCATAGCTGTGACAGTATGATGTTGTTACCTATAGACCGTAGCTGTGACAGTATGATGTTGTTACCTATAGATCGTAGCTGTGACAGTATGATGTTGTTACCTATAGACCGTAGCTGTTACAGTATGATGTTGTTACCTATAGATCGTAGCTGTGACAGTATGATGTTGTTACCTATAGACCGTAGCTGTTACAGTATGATGTTGTTACCTATAGACCGTAGCTGTGACAGTATGATGTTGTTACCTACCTATGCATCGTGGCTGAGAGCCGCTCCAGATGCTGTCGTCCTGACAGATGCGTGTAGTTGACCCCACCAGGACATAGGGGGCGCTACAGCTGAACGTAACCTCTGACTTGTAGATTAAACTACGTCCTTCTCTTTTCCCCTTGGCTGGGGTACCAGGGTCTCCACAGAACTTGGCTGGAATGGAGAGACCCAAAACATTGGCTTTAGTTCACTGAATTCATACTGACTTTATAAATGAAACATATTCCTCACTCATATTTGTTTTATCTATGTGTATAGTGCAGATCATATGGCATATTATATGGCTGGAGTGGAGAGGAGAGACCCCAAACCCTGGCTTTAATTCACTGGTTTATTCCTTCATTTATTCCAGGGGTGTCCAACTCATTCCATGGTGGGCCCAGTGGCTGCTGGTTTTGTTATTTCCTTTCAAATTGTTTCCAATGAAGACCTAGACAACCAGGTGAGGGGAGTTCCTAACTAATCAATGAAGACCTAGACAACCAGGTGAGGGGAGTTCCTAACTAATCAATGAAGACCTAGACAACCAGGTGAGGGGAGTTCCTAACTAATCAATGAAGACCTAGACAACCAGGTGAGGGGGAGTTCCTAACTAATCAATGAAGACCTAGACAACCAGGTGAGGGGAGTTCCTAACTAATCAATGAAGACCTAGACAACTAAGTGAGGGGAGTTCCTAACTAATCAATGAAGACCTAGACAACCAGGTGAGGGGAATTCCTAACTAATCAATGAAGACCTAGACAACCAGGTGAGGGGAGTTCCTAACTAATCACTGAAGACCTAGACAACCAGGTGAGTGGAGTTCCTAACTAATCAATGAAGACCTAGACAACCAGGTGAGGGGAGTTCCTAACTAATCACTGAAGACCTAGACAACCAGGTGAGTGGAGTTCCTAACTAATCAATGAAGACCTAGACAACCAGGTGAGGGGAGTTCCTAACTAACAAATTAAGACCTAGACAACCAGATAAGGAGAATTCAAGTACAAGGGAGGAGTGAAAACGCACAGACACATTCGGCCCTCCATGGAATGAGTTTGAGCCCTGTGATTAAATCTTCAATAGGAAATGGGATACCTAGTCAGTTGCACAACTGAATGTGTTAAACCGAAATGTGTCTTCCGCATTTAACCCAACCCCTCTGAATCAGAGAGGGGTTCAAGCATTGGTTGGCCTTCATTATTATGGATTTGAATCCCCGTTAACTGACACCTTAGTGACCGCTAGTCTTGCTGGGGTCCTCCTGGGACATCACGGTTTGAAACAGATACATAACTAAAACATATTCCACATAACTAAAACATATTCTTCAGTCATGTTCATTTTATCAATTTTTATAGTGGATGGGCCGATCATATGGCATATTATATGGTGGGAGTGGAGAGACCCAAACACTGGCTTTAGTTCACTTGTTTATTATTTCTTGATTCTTGATTAAGTGAAGCCTTAGCAACCCCCACTGTGTTCTTCTTTGTATTCTTGATTTGGATCCCCATTAAGTGAAGCCTTAGCAAACTCCACTGTGCTCTTCTTTGGTACATAACTAAAACATTCAGTTTTTTTTTATCCATCTTTTATCCATGGGTAGATCCTATGGTATCATATGGTATATCACTTTAGTTTGCATTATTTTCAAGTGATTCAATCAGGTATTTTATTCACAACAATCAAAACACCAGCCACCAGCCACCAGTGAATAATTAAGAGGATACCTTGAACAGAGACTCCAGTGGCCGCGGGGTGAAGATGGGGCGAGACACCCCAAGTTACATCTAAATAATTACCCTCTTCAAAAAATTTATTTCCAGACAATGGCCTTGGGGTTAACAACACAACTGAAGCCATCTATGCCAGACAGTATAAAAACTCAGAGCTCTTGCCTCTCTGGATGCGTCCCAAATGGCCCCCTACTCCCTATATACTGCAGTACACTACATCTGACTAGAGCCCAGATCAAATGTAGTGCACTAATAAGGGAATAGGGTGCCATTTTGGACCCCTGCAGTAGCACAGGGGAGGGAACGAAACCCTGTGGATTACCACTCCTCCACTACTCCACTGTCTGCCTAATCAAATGGATTAGGACCACCAGGAGCTGAAGCAGAGGAGTCAGCCGTTCTCCCTCTCCATCATCTGATCCTCATCAGAAGGGTTCTAGTTAGCTTTAGGCTTTAGCTGCTTGATGCTTCATTATAAGAAAGCAGAGGGAGAGGGAGAGAGACCAGAGTCGGCTGGCTGCGTCCCAAATGGCAGTCTATTCCCCCTATATAGTGCACTACTTTCGACCAGCGCTCATAGGGATCTGATCAAAAGTATGATCAGAAGCAGTGCACTATATAGGGAATAGTGTGACATTTGGGACGCAATCAGAGTCACTGTGTTCAGTCACGCAGTGATTCCATGGGAATCAGGCAGCACTACGGGGATCAAGTCAACAATGTGGCTCCGGCTGCAGCTTGCAGCTCCTCAGGACTTGACATCCGCCTCATGTTGCAGGTCTGTGGCTCCGACTGCAGCTTGCAGCTCCTCAGGACTTGACATCTGCCTCATGTTGCAGGTCTGTGGCTCCGACTGCAGCTTGCAGCTCCTCAGGACTTGACATCTGCCTCATGTTGCAGGTCTGTGGCTCCGACTGCAGCTTGCATCTCCTCAGGACTTGACATCTGCCTCATGTTGCAGGTCTGTAGCTCCGGCTGCAGCTTGCAGCTCCTCAGGACTTGACATCTGCCTCACGTTGCAGGTCTGTGGCTCCGGCTGCAGCTTGCAGCTCCTCAGGACTTGAAATCTGCCTCATGTTGCAGGTCTGTGGCTCCGGCTGCAGCTTGCAGCTCCTCAGGACTTGACATCTGCCTCATGTTGCAGGTCTGTGGCTCCGACTGCAGCTTGCAGCTCCTCAGGACTTGACATCTGCCTCATGTTGCAGGTCTGTAGCTCCGGCTGCAGCTTGCAGCTCCTCAGGACTTGACATCTGCCTCATGTTGCAGGTCTGTGGCTCCGGCTGCAGCTTGCAGCTCCTCAGGACTTGACATCTGCCTCATGTTGCAGGTCTGTAGCAGGAGATACGTTAGTGTTCTCCATATCTCATTCTCTCTCTCTCTGCTACGTATGCACAGCCAAAACACACCGGCTCCAAAAGCCATTACCGTATAATAGCTGGACATGGCTTCCTCTCAGTATGCAATACTAACCAAGATTACAGAATGAAAACAGTCTGACTGCAAATATTATTATCTTAAAACTACAGTCTATCACTTTATTTAATGTAGTCCTCGATACTAATATTTTTCTAAATGTTTCAGACAAATGAATTGTGAATTCATTCCCTCTTAGGCGTTAGTGAAATGCCAACAGATAAAAATGCTAATGACTGAATACACTGCAAGGGTCCTGATGGACCCGTCTCCTGTCACACATTCCAACAACCATTCTCAATATTCCAACAATGACTCTCAATATTCCGCTGGCATTCTAGAGTGTTAAGGACCAAACAAGGTGACTGGACCATTAGTCATGGCTCTGAGCGGCAGCCTCAGTGATAACCTTCTGTTTTATGAAAATATAACGTGGATGGGATGGATGGCTGGGGGCCAGAAATAGCTGTGCATAACAAATAGGCCTGGAGTTAACCTGCCTGTGGACTCAGGCTCGGAGTCTCCTAACTTTCTTTCCTTGATTAGTTTTCTATGCTTTCCAGTTATCAGTATGCATGCAGAGAGAGGCCAGACAGTTGCAGAGTTGTTAGAATCCTAGGCAATGTCCCAAATGGCACCCTATTCCCTATATAGTGCACTGCTTTTGACCAGAGCCCTGTGGGTGACAATTGGGAAACAACGCGACTCTCTCTAACCCTGGTGGACATGTGAACTGCAGAGATGTTGTTGTTGTTGTTGTTGTTGTTGATGATGTTGCCTAGTAGTGAAGATGTACCTCTATCTTTAGCAATATTATAAGATAATTGTAGTAGGAAGAATGAGGGATCTAGTAGTGTTATTACCATATACTGTACAGTACTGCTGTGGTGTGAATCTAGTGTTATTACCCTATACTGTACTGTACTGCTGTGGTGTGAATCTAGTGTTATTACCCTATACAGTACTGCTGTGGTGTGAATCTAGTGTTATTACCCTATACTGTGCTGTACTGCTGTGGTGTGAATCTAGTGTTATTACCCTATACTGTACTGCTGTGGTGTGAATCTAGTGTTATTACCATATACTGTACTGTACTGCTGTGGTGTGAATCTAGTGGTATTACCCTATACAGTACTGTATATAATGTGCTGTACTGCTGTGGTGTGAATCTAGTGTTATTACCCTATACAGTACTGCTGTGGTGTGAATCTAGTGTTATTACCCTATACTGTGATTTACTGCTGTGGTGTGAATCTAGTGTTATTACCCTATACTGTACTGCTGTGGTGTGAATCTAGTGTTATTACCATATACTGTACTGTACTGCTGTGGTGTGAATCTAGTGGTATTACCCTATACAGTACTGTACTGCTGTGGTGTGAATCTAGTGTTATTTCCCTATACAGTACTGCTGTGGTGTGAATCTAGTGTTATTACCCTATACTGATGTGGTGTGAATCTAGTGTTATTACCCTATACTGTACTGCTATGGTGTGAATCTAGTGTTATTACCATATACTGTACTGTACTGCTGTGGTGTGAATCTAGTGGTATTACCCTATCAGTACTGACTGCTGTGGTGTGAATCTAGTGTTATTTCCTATACAGTACTGCTGTGGTGTGAATCTAGTGTTATTACCCTATAACTGAGTGGTGTGAATCTAGTGTTATTACCCTATACTGTAACTGCTATGGTGTGAATCTAGTGTTATTACCATTACTGTACTGTACTGCTGTGGTGTGAATCTAGTGGTATTACACTATACAGTACTGTACTGCTGTGGGTGTGAATCTAGTTGTTATTTCCCTATACAGTACTGCTGTGGTGTGAATCTAGTGTTATTACCCTATAATGTGCTGCACTGCTGTGGTGTGAATCTAGTGTTATTACAATATTCTGTACTGTACTGCTGTGGTGTGAATCTAGTGTTATTAACCTATACTGTACTGTACTGCTGTGGTGTGAATCTAGTGTTATTACCCTATACAGTACTCTGTGGTGTGAATCTAGTGTTATTACCCTATACTGTACTGTAGTGCTGTGGTGTGAATCTAGTGTTATTACCCTATACTGTACTGCTGTGGTTGTGAATTAGTGTTATTACCTATATGTCCACT